GCGTGATTACATACTGTGATCCAAAGGCATATAATTAAATAATTAAAATGATAAGAAATGGAGAAAATAGGTAGCGCAGTGATTTAAGCAGGCCGCCCTCATATTATTCATTTAAATAATAATGGTTTGTGAAGTAAAACAAAATTATTGATAATATTACTCTGGTAATATTATTAGAATGTTTCCATGTCTTTCAGATTGTGAAGTATTCACATAAAATAAGTCTTAGTTAATAGGTCGACCAACACGTTACATATTATATTAGACAATAAAAATCCTAATAATAGTCGTCTTTGAATGGCGCGCTTCATGACCTTCATGGATTCTTCTTTATTCTAACCAGAGGTTTTTCTTATTTTCATAAGTAATATGCAAGTATTTAGTTAGATAATGGCTTCAGGAGTTTTTGGGTAGATCGTTTCTTTTCAAGTTGACAATAACAGAAATAACTTTGAACGCAGTGACCTCTTCCTTCTTGAGCAATACGACCACATCATAATCACCATACGGCCTAATCATTGTCTGAGTTTTCCAGACTTATTATTTATTGGCTAGTAAAATACGTGGGGGGGCGGGTTAACAGTCCATCAGCCGGGAACCGAACCCAGACCTTCTGTATGGCTGGTGAGCGAGTTATCCTTAAAGTCTTTAAGGTCCACCGAGGGAGAGGGTTCTCGAGTGGTTTCGCCACAGGATGATCCTGCATGCCAGTCTCGTCTCGTAAGAGGCAGGGATGGGTGTGTTCGGTTCTCCTGAAAGCCAATACCAAGTGAATGGGTGTATCACTGTGTGAATTGTGCGTCGGTGGCACAGCGGTTAGGACGCTCGCCGATCATGCACATGGTCCGGAGTTCGATCTCCGACCACAGACGCACTCCCTCACCTCGCTAGACCAGAAATAAAAGCTGGTAAAGAGGAAAGGTTGGGCATGAGGCTGGCTAGCAACCCCAACCTGTAAAAATAAACACTGCTACAGAAACTTCTAGCCTGTAGTTTGAAGGCGCCGTATGTTCCACTGGGAACGTGAAGGAATACAAAAAGTCTTCAATGTCACAAGATATTTACAAGCAACCCGTACCTTCTGAAAATGGAGGTATGTGTATAACATCTAATTGAGTATCATACCTATAAGAGTTATCAGACAAAATCTATGTGAAAGTTTATCATACACTAGGGAAGGCACAAAAGGATACCTTCGTGAAAGCAAGCGCTACTGGTAGATGTGGCTGGTTTCCAAAAACAGTAGATATCACCACAAGATTTCACTTGCTTCTTTGATTACCACTAAAAAAATATTAGGCAGATTGCATTTTGCGGTTCAAATATTTTCGGTTTCTAATGGTTCACCAACCACACGTATGCTTCAAGGTTCGATTCCCGGTCAGTGAACTCTGAAACATCATCAAAAGGTGTGGGTGGTATTCCCCGTAAACAGAGTAGGTTGGTTATGAGATTAGCAACGCTGGCTCTTAAAAAAAACAATACAAGGGCTAATGACACACTACAAAGCTTAAAGAATGAAGCCTTATGAATCACTTGGAACCTAAATAATAATAATAATAATAGTAGCTTTATTCCAAACAGTATTTGTGGTACAGGTATGGAATTTACAGCGTGCATTACAATATTGCATCTAATTACATCATAAATTTCATAAGATTTTAAAAATAAAAAGCAACAACAACAAAAAGAAAAAAAGATAAATAAAAGAGAACAGCATTGCATTCACATATTTAAACAATGCACCACAGGATATGAAATATAAAATTAGTGTGTAATAGAATATGTGAGCAACAATATTATAGTGACAAAGAAAGGAGAACAAAAACTAAATGGGAACTATTTGTTACAGTGCCGCAGTAAGTTGATCGTGTCATACCTAACGGATTTCTCATCACGTAATAACAGCTGTGCCAGATAAGGTATTGTGGAGTTTTTGTACTTGGTAGTCCTAGCATAAAGCCTCCTATAGTTGCTTCTAGTTCTACCAGATGAAATGCAAGGAGAGAATTGCGTATAGAGAGGATGTTCGGGGTCTGACAATATAGTATTCGCTAGTTTCTTACATGACATTATATGTCTATCCACAATAGTGTTAACCAGTTGATTTAACGAAATCCCACTTCGCCTACTAACAGCTTTTAGTGCCCTAAGCAGCAAAGCAAAGTCTTTTTTAAGTAGTCCAGGAAAGATTAATGGGGAGCAGTAAAGAGGGATGGTTAGAATACAAGAGTTGACAAACTGAGAAAGCAAAGACTGCTTTATACCAGACTGCCTTAACTTCCTAACGTAGAACGTTAAGCGTTCACCTGGATTTATATTATTAATTTTTTCAAATGACGAATCCGACTGTATCGTTGAACATTGTTGAACAATTTCCAGGGGATTATTCATCCGACTTATACGGATATCTCGTATATATGGAAGTTAATTCTATAAAGTTCTGCCACTCACTATATAATACTCTAAACAAATAACATCAGTCAAATGTATTGTTATCAACTGAAGTTCACTGCAGTTTCATGCGGTGGCTAGTCTCATCATAACCATTTCACAAGAGATTTAGCAAACTAAAACTCATCGCTGTCTGATAAAAATCTTCGTTTTATAGAGGCGCTTGATCAGTTAAGTGGTAACCGCACCCCACCTCTCCCCGCCTCCCCGACAGCTTTGACAAAGAGTGATTCGGCTTTCTATATACACGGTTTTCCAGTAGATTTTCAACATAACGCGTAAGACCTGTGTTAGGCAGTTGTTTCTGCGAATACAGCGAAAGCACAATTTTAAGTGGTCTTAATTTATTGTATGTACATATGTGCGTGTGTGTGTGTGTGCGTGTGCGTGATAAAGCCAATCATGTGTAGCGAATTTCTTCGGGACGGTAAAAACCAATTACGGTTGGAAACAATTGGTGACATGGCTCAAAGTGGTCGTTCTCAATGGCTGGCTGGCTGGCTGGCGCAGATGCATCCACTCCTTGTGTTACTTATGATTTCCAATGAAACTGTTTCGTTCTTCGTTATTACTATTCCTTTGTCTCACACCTCTGTTTACTGTCTCTCTATTATGCATTTCTTCTACTTTCTTCTCCTGCTTTGTGTTACATGGAGTGGAGGGATTGTGGCGACTTGAACTGCCGCACATATGTCAGTCGAAAACCGACCGACCGACTGCACAAAATTACTGTTGACATACTATAAATAGTTTTCTTTACAAAAACCACACATACACACACATTTTCACAGTATCTTTCCACGAGTAGAATTAAAAAAAAAACAACTTCCCTTTATCGACGGTCATGTGGTGGTGGTGGTTTGTATCAATTTTCATCGTTCTAACTGAAAGCTCAATTTAATACGCATGAATGAATTTCTTATTCCCCCTTATTCACTCTTACTAAGTATATGCCAATATAATATAATTCATTTCTTCCTCGTGTTAGTGACTTATTCGGTGAACTGGCTGACTCGGTCGGTCGGTCTGTCCGTCGGTTTTCGACATAGAACCACTTTGCACATATGTGCGGCAGTTCAAGTCGCCACACACTCCCTCCACTCCATGTAGCACACAAAGCAAGAGAAGAAAGTAGGAGAAATGCATAATAGAGAGAGACAGTAAACAGAGGTGTGGTGAGACAAAGGAATAGTAATGACGAAGAACAAAACAGTTTCATTGGAAATCATAGTAAGTCACAAGGAGTGGATGCATCTGCGCCAGCCAGCCAGCCAGCCATTGAGAACGATCACTTTGAGCCATGTCACCAATTGTTTCCAACCGTAATTGGTTTTTACTGTCCCGAGGACCCCAACCAGTCAGGAAGTCTACACCTTCCTAAGTGGGTGGCTGGCTTAAACTAACTGTTGTGGATTTTATTGAGTGGTGAAGCCATGTTTTCGTTTGACCGCCGCTAGCTCTTTTCCAGCCTGACCCTATATCAGCTAACATTGCCCGTTGACGAGGAAGGCGACGACTAGGCATGCATGCGTAACACATGTCCTAACCATCTCAGTCGATGTAATTTCACTGTCTCGTCGACTGACTTCCCCGCCTTACCTAGCACTCCCTGGACGCCTAACCTCAATATTGCTCACCTTATCATACCACTTCACACGGGAGATAGAACGCAGACACCTATGATCGAAGACAGCTAATCTTTTCATGTCTTCCACTCTCAATGGCCTGGTCTGGCTGACTAAATACATATCACTTTTCAAGTATTGACTTTGTAGGGATTTCGTGTGATTGGTTGCAGGATTTCATCATGGGCTGACACATCAGTCATGACTTGGCACAAGTTGGATTGGGTCCCAGTGGCTGCTCAATGGTCTACGAGCTAGCTCGCTGGCCTTGTAACCAGAGGGTCCTGGGTTCGAACCGCATTCGTGGGTGGATGCGTACTGCTGAAGAGTCAGTCCCAAACTAGGCTGACGAAACAGCTGGCTGTTCAGTACTCCCTGCAGGTTTTCCACTGGTTCACCAACCATCCAATATATCAGCTCATGATGAAATCCTCCAACCAAACACATATCACATATCCCCTATGGAATAGCGATGTTTGCAGTCGACAGCTTGGGAATCAAGACTTTAAAACTAATCTGATGCTTTGTGCATGAAGTACCCTTAGTTCTTCTGAGAAATCGTGATCAACGGCGTTCACAAAGTCAAGTAAGAGATCACTTACTTGCTGATGACATTGGGTGGCTGTTGTATCTGGGTCCCAGTGGCTGAGTGGCCTTCGATCCCTCCATGTAACCAGAAGGCCCTGAGTTAGAGCCCCAGTGGATGCGCACTTCTTGAAGGTCCTACACTAGGACGAAATAATTGTCTACCGCTGCACTGCTGGTTTTTCCAATCGTTCTCTAACTGATTTCAGCCCCTGACCAATCAGATCTCCGGTAAACCAACACACTCAGAATCAGTAATAATTGAAAGTTAATCAATCTGAATAAACTTAGATGGAGTTGTAATCGTTTTTGTTCTGTCGATTTTCTCTCTTACAGCTTCCCAAATAGGCCCAAATGAATATGTCTGTAAAGCGTGCGGAAAACATTTTCAAATATTACGCCTTCTAACAAGACATATAAAATGTCACAGTCAACTGCACAGGTATTTATGTAAATTTTGCTTTAAAGGATTCAATGATACCTTCGATTTGAAACGTCATACCAGAACGCATACAGGTGAGCTGAAAAAAAAACACTTTTTTCTCCATATTATTATTATAATATTATTGTTCAACTACACGTCTCCACTTGCTTCTGTCTTCTGCTGTACTTTTCACTTGCATCCATGTGTTAGTCCATACTGCTTCAACTCCTCTTCACACCATCTCCTCCATGTCACCCTTGCACCGATGTCCCAATACTCACCACTTCCCTTTCGGGTTCCACTCGAGCATTGGCCTGACGCGCGATGTCACCCAGCGAGTGGCCTCCTCAGCGAGTGTCCAATCCATCTCCACCGTCTCCTGCATATTTGTTGAGCGATTGGTTCTTGTTTCGTTTGTTTGTTCACATAGTTTCTTGTTGGTTCTTGTTCTTTCCGGCCATCTGATCTTCAGTATAGAGCCAGCTAAGACAGTTGTCGTTGTTGATAAAGGTCTGCAACAGGCTGTTGGAAATATTCTTTGTCACCAGCCGCCAAGTTTCTCATCCGTATAGAAGAACTGACTCACATGACGTTTGTATTGAAAATCCGAAATTTGTTGTTGATGCTGAGTGACGAAGATATCCAGATTGGTTTCAGGTTGATGAATGTGTTTCTCGCGTTCCTGATTCTCGATTTGACATCCTCGTCCGTTGCACCTACCTGTAGTTGAGACACTGCTCCATAGCTACATAAGTGAATGAAGTAACCTCTTTCAAATCCCTCCCGTTGATGGTGATTGGCGCTTTTTTTCTCCATACAAAACAGATTATTTTAAATTTTAACTTTCATTATAGCTTGGGAGGCTTTCTTTTTATAACAAAAGAGCCCAACCATATGATCGAGGTTCGACTGTTTGCTGAAGAACTTGTTGAAGCCTACTCTAGTTTGCTTGCTAGCTGGTAGTAAGCCTGCCTAGGTCGGTTGGGTTCAAGACTAGTAGACTACCAACCCCGTAAAAGGAACACTGTCGCCATTGAGACTTCAAAATCTTCAAGCAATATATTCCACTCAGACGCATTAAGTAATGACGAGTTGATGGAGCATAAACACTACTGTGCTATCTAGTTCCAACTGCCAGTTAAATTAAATCCAATTCTGCAATCTATTCACTAAACAGGGCCATCAATCAGTGAGATATATAATCAGTAGGATGCTGTACAGTCTAATTCACTTAGAGACTCGAATCTGCACTAACCATTTTTTCGATATGACGACTTGCTGACTACTCGGTCGAGGTGATGCAGCTATCTTATCTTATCTTATCTAGATCAATCCGGTTTATCAATGACTGTCTTAGTTCCATGTGATAGAACTGGTCGTTTGTTGTGTTGTGTTGTGTATTCTGCCAATTTAATCTGACAATCACCTCCAGTTGAAGTGTATTGAACCAGTTCATTTCGAAGTTGATCACAAAATACAGATCAGGATTATTTGTTTATCTGATCCACAAAATGAAGAGAACAATTCGAGATTTGAAGTGCTATTTTGTACAGTTTCATGTAAGCAAATAACAGGGGGTGTGCACCAACGATTGAGAAGGGTGCATAATACATTTTGTGCAGTATGTTCCAGCAGTAAACCATCCACCTGAAATGCAAACTGACCGACTGAATTTCAACATGGGACTATGCACAGAAATGCAGCAGTACGAAGTTGCCACACACACCATATACTATATACGAAGATATAGAAGAGATGGGAAAAAGTGATTGAAGGGAACTATAATGAGCAGAAATGTGAGGGAGGCGGGTTGGGGGTGGTAGAAAGGAAGAACAGTAACATAGAGAAACAAAAGGAAGGAAAGAATCTGGGAGAAATCGCAAAACAGTGATTACATCTTCGCCACTGAGAACTATTTCGAGCCATATCACCAATAGTCTCAAGCCGTTAGTTCTAAGCATTCAGATGACTGTAACCAGTCGTCAGTCAACAGCTCCCTGCATGGCTCCAAATAACTGTCACAGACTTCATGGACTGATCCACTGGTTTTGGTTTGAACAGGTCTAACTCTTTTCCAATATAATAATCCTACATTAGCAAACATCAGTAGTCGACGAAGGATGAGGTTCTTTTGACTGTAGAAAATACTTCAAAAATTACACCGTTTATATTATGTTTTGAAACTCCTTAAAATTTGTATTTATCTGCATAAATTAGGAATAGAGTAAATGAATATGTAAGACAAGCTGGGCCTGCCTACTATCGCCAATGATTTTCCTGATTGCAGTAGATTGGATAATGCGACAAACAGTGGTGGCAATGAGGAAACAGGCATAAAATGGACTCACACAAAAACGACTTGGAGGATCTGCATTTCGCCGATGATATATGTCTGATTTCCCACAAACTGGAAGATATGCAAGCGGAAAGCAACAAGTTGGCAGAAGAAGCATCACAGACAGGAAGGAGTTCAGGTGAACATAGAGAAAACAGATGTGGTGATGAAGATTCCTGGACAACAACAGCAACAACAGACAACGATCAGCATAAATGGGAGGAACCTGAAAGAAACAACCTCCTTCACCTGCCTACCTGGGAAGCATCGTTTCAAATACAGGCGGACGGAACTGACGAGGATATCAAAGCAAGAATCGGAAAAGCAAGACAAGCTTTCATTTCTCTCAAGTCTGTGTGGAGGTCAACAGCACTCAGCGTGAGAAATAAGATCCGGATTTTCAGCTCCAATGTGAAGTCAGTCAGTGCTACTTACTATACGGATCAGAGACTTGGCCAGCGCGTCATAAAGAGCATCTCAAACAAACTACAGACCTTCATCAACAGCCAGTTGTCTTCGCTCAATACCACTCAAGATCAGATGGCCGGCCGGCCGGCCAGTGAGAAAAGATCAGCAACAGGGTGGGATCTCTGGCAATGAGCGAACCAACCAACACAGCAGGAACCGATTGTGCGAGAAATAGGCAGGAAGAAATGGAGATGGATTGGATTGTGGCCATACTCTGAGGAAACAAACCATCAAGTGAGTGACATCACTAGACAAGCCATTGCTCGAGTGGAACCCGACGGAATGGGAAGCGGCGAGTTGGTCGTCAGTGCGAGGGTGGGTGACTTGTAGGAGGTCATATGAAGAGGAGATGAAAACGTGTGTGGGCAGACTTGGAGCCAGGTGAAGACTCTAGCAGAGAACCGAACACAATATAGACGTGCGGCTGAAGCCCTATGTTCCTCTAGAAATTAAAGGATACAATAATAATAATCACCAGGATACAACTGTGGATTATTAGACATACGGTGTTCTTAAGTAAGGACAGTAAATAAGGATACCTCAGTCACATGTATATATATATATGATAAACGGTTTTTGTACATTAAGAGTAGTGATCACGAAAAGCACTCAGCATACAATAACTACAGTGTCACTGAATGACAACAACAACAACAGCAACGAAAGTCTGATAAGATAGATAGAGAGACTAGTGTGTGTTCAGAAGTAAAAATACATGCACTTAACCAAAAAAGGAAAAAAGAACGAGAACACTATTCATACCCGACAGTGTTCCGTTTTTTGTAGAAATTCATTCAAAAATATCATCATTTATGTGTACTGTATGTATTCTTTTGAAAATTTCTAGCACGTATCTTTTTTTTAAATTTTTTATTCACCATCGAACACTGTACATTTATTTATTTGATTACTGAGTTGAGTACATGGTGTACCGTAGTGTAATGACATTCACGCTAAAAACCTTGAAGTCTAAGTATATACCGTAGATAACATAACATAAACTCTTCAAGCTGATCAATATATGTTCTCTTTGACAAGTGATGCGTGCATATCAATACAATTTCACTTATGTTCTACTTTTATTATGAATAAGTGGACAAAATTGTTTTCATGGTGTCGCACGCAAATTGGCTACACGTCTTTCATAGATCTGATTATACACTATAACATATTTGTAGTTCTGAGTACATGTGAAACACAGCATGCAATTTCTGTTAAGGAAAGACAAAACCTACCTTAAAAGTACATGACCTTTAATATATATTCAGATTTATTTATTGATAGCCAATTGGAAATGTCTCTTTGATAGACGCTTGTTTTGTTTTTTTCTGGGCCGAAAAACAGTCTCAACAGAAAATACCATTTGACAGTTACAGTTTACAGTTTACAATTTATTTAGGATAGTAGGCTATATGCCTGTGTTAATCCTTTCGATTTGTTACACACAGGAGGTCCAATCTCGCCTTGAATGAATCAACGGATGGCGCTGATACGACGTGTTCCGGTAGGGAGTTCCAATGGTTCACAATTCGATGCGAAAAACGGATCTCCAGACGAAGACGATTCGACCGTGGTTTTTGAACCTTGAGGTGATGTCCTCACAATTGGTTGGTGCTAGAAGGAAGAAATAAATTAGATAAATTAGCTCCAAAATCATTTCTTAGGATACGGTATGCTAGTATTAGGTCACCCCTAAGTCGTCTGTATGACAGTGGAAATAAACCCAGTCGACTTAACCTCTCCTCATATGAGAGGGTTGAGAAACACTTTATTAGCTTAGCTCCTACTCTTTGCACCCTTTCTAATAAGTCTATTTCGTATTTGAAACACGGGCTCGCTGCCTGGATCCCATATTCCAAATGAGGTCTGATATAAGTCGGATATAATATACGAAATATATCAGCGTCAAAGTTCGCAAAAGCCTTGCGTATGACCCATAATATTCGAAAACCCTTAGTGGCTGCAGCTCTACAGTTTGTTGCTGTTTTCAAGTCATGCTGCACAACCACTCCCAAGTCCTTGTACTCAGTGACCACTGGGAGAGTAATCCCATTCATTGAGTAATTGTGCACGTGACTATGAGATACATGCATAACTACACTCTTGCTTAAGTTAATCTCCAAGGCCCAGTGCTTACACCAATCACTTAACAAGTTTAAATCTTCCTGCAAAGCAAGTTGATCACTGTCATCGTGTAAAGCCCTCCATATCTTGATGTCATCAGCAAACAGTAAGCAGGATGACTTAACTACCGATGGAATCTCACTAACATAAATCAGGAAAAGAAGT